AAGTCAGTTTATTTGGGGAGGGATTAGGAGCTATCTGTTTTACTGCCTGCTTTTTCTCCAGGGCTCTTAAACTGGTGGTGAGGGACAACGGAAAACTTCTCTCTGAGTAAAACCCAGATGTACACTGAGCTCTCAGCTGGAGGTAGAGATTAGATAGTGCTCTTGGCTTACCTCTGCTGGCATGGAACCACTGTCTCATAGGTTGATGCAAGGGCACTCAGGTGTTCTCAGTTTACTGCCCCCAAGTAGAGCCTTCTTTCCTTGGAGGTAGAGATTAGGTAGTGCTCTTGCCTTACCTCACTGGCATGGAACCACTGTCTCAAGGGCACTCAGGTGTTCTCAGTTTACTGCCCCCAAGTAGAGCCTTCTTTCCACTATTGAGGGCTGCGTAGAAGATGGGATTCCACCTCTCGGTTGCACTTCTTAATAGGTTGTTTGCAGCAGGATGAGAAATGCTGGTGTCCTGTTCGTGGGAAGAAAGCCCTTCACCTGGGAGCTGGAGGAAAGGGGTACCCTGTGTCTTGGCTGTAGCCGTCTGGAATGGAGTCTCCTCCACTGACCTTGAAGTTGTAAGGGAGGCGTGGTCTTGGTTCAAATACCAGACTATTGCTTCTCTTACCAAATGTTTATAGAACTTCTTGGAGAGATGCTTCTTCATTTGTTCTTTGCTTACAGGACCATTTCCAGAGGCTTTCAATGGTGGTTTTTAAATACTTTTAACCAATTTCACTGGGGAGCAGGCCATTGGAACTTTTCAGGCTGTCAATCTCTGGCTGGTGATAAATGAGTTCTTTTGTGGTGTCATGAGAAAGGAAGGTCAAAGGCACCGCATGGAGGAGTTAAAATGTGATGCAGGATTTTATTGTGAATTCGGGGACGGAGAGGGTAGGCAGGCTCTACAGCACTGCCCTGGCAGTCCTCCATCTCTCTTCTTGGTCAGGTAAAGGACCGGCACCATTCACATGCTCCAACCCGGACTCCTGACTTTTCCCAGCAAACTCGGGGGGTTTCCTGTCCTCTCTCCAATCTGATGGCCTTTCCCATGTTCCCAGGCGAGGTCCTGCCCTGTCTCCTCACCCTGACTCCCACGGAGCATGTCCACAAGTGCCATTACAGCAGCTCGCTCCTCTTGAGCATGTGCCCGGCGAGGAGTTTCCTCCCGTCGCTCTGGTACCAGACCGGGCCTCAGCACCCTGGGGAGATGGTCCTATCCCTTCTGAGGATGAGGTCTCCTCTCTGGCAGTTTCCTGTAGTGTGTGAACCTGCCTGGTGACCAGTCAGCTGGTGGGAATGCTGCTCCCTGCTCCCTGCTCCAGCTTCCCGGATTTAGATGATTTAATCCCCCTTTGCTTCCTTATGTTAATAACGAGCTCTCTTCCTCACGCTAATAACTACCTATGTACGCTGACATCTCCCCACCCAGAGAATGTGAGCCTTTATAATCTTTCTTTTTAATTAAATCTTTATTGTTGAAAGTATTACATATGTCCTCTTTCTTCCCCCATGGACCTTTCTAACCCGTTCCTGCCCCCCACCCCAGGCCTTCGCCACCCTGTTGTCTGTATCTATGAATTATGCGTATAAACATACAAGTTCTTTGGTTGATCACTTCCCCCCCACCCACCTACCCTCCCCCGCCTTGCCTCTGAGATTCTGCATTCTGTTCCATGCTTCTATGCCTCTGCATCTATTTTGTCCATCAGTTTATTTTGTTACTTAGATTCCACATATGAGTGAGATCATGTGATACTTGTCTTTCTCTGACTGACTTATTTCACTTAGCATAACACTCTCCAGGTCCCTCCATGCTGTCTCAAAGGGTAAGGGGTCCTTCTTTTTTACTGCTGTATAGTATTCCATGGTATAAATGTACCACAGCTTTTTTATCTGCTCATGTACTGATGGACACTTGAGCTGTTTTCCAGCTCTTAGCTATTGTAAGTTGTGCTGCTATGAACATAGGGGTGCATACATTCTCTCTGCTTGGTGTTTTGGGTTTCTTAGGGATTCTAGAAGTGGGATCACTGGATCAAATGGCAGTTCCATATTTTTTTGAGGAACTGAGTTTGGTTCTTTACTAGGGTTCCTACCTGACTTTCATATACTACTTTGAAATTTACAAATTGATATTTGCTTTAAGACAATTTATTATTTACTTCGTAATTTTAAAATGTCAGTTTCTGTGTGTGTGTTGTAGCCCTGGTCCATAAGGAGGGTGACTACTACAGCATGTATTCTGCGATAAATGACCGATTGTTCATTATGGATAGCCAGCAGCTATTTATAACAACTGTGTGAATGATTTTAAGAGGGGTGGTGTGAAGTGTTATAGTCATTTCTAAAGCCTCCAAGGACACTCAGAGTGCTCAGTTTCTCTGACAGTGGCTATTAGGGGGATTTCTTTTTTTTTACAATTTCTACTACTGAGTTATTGTACTCACATCTAACTTAAAAAACTGTACTTTGGATATTTTTAAAATACATTTTTTATTGATTTCAGAGAGGAAGGGAGAGGGGGAGAGATAGAAACATTAATGATGAGAGAGGATCATTGACCGGCTGCCTCCTGCACGCCCTCTCCTGGGAATTGAGCCCACAACCCAGGCATGTGCCCTGATCAGGAATCCGACCTTGACCTCCTGGTTCATAGGTCGATGCTCAACCACTAAGCCATGCCTGCTGAGCTGGATTTTTTTTTTAAGTTTGCAATTTAAACTAATTTCAATCTGAAACCAGTCTAAAATGCTTGAATATTGTTTTTTGTTGTTGTTTTTAATCCTCACCTAAGGACATGCTGAGAGAGAGAGATGCATTGATCGGTTGCCTTCCACCCCTACCCTGAGTGGGGATTGGACCCACAACCCAGATATGTGTCCTGACCAGAAATCAAACCAGCAACCTTCCAGGGCACAGGATGACATTTAGCCAGCTGAGCCCCCCGACCAGGGAATATTGTTGATAACTTGTAAGCTTGTATGATTTCTAATGTATTCTTTTTCCCAAACCTCATGATGTCTTGTCTAAGTGCATTCTCAAACTCAAGTCTATGAAATAGCACTTTCTTACTGCAGTAATTTCTTTACCTTTTTCCCCCACCATGCCACAAGTTATGGATAGATAGTCTGGTTTAATGAAACTCCTTAAAACTGATGGGAATTCATAAGTTTTGTAATCATTATCATATGTAGTGTCCTTGCAATGGTTGCTTGTGTTGGAATGCACACATCATGTGTTAGGAAATCTGGGGTAGAGTATAGCAGGTAAGTTTTGGGATAATTGCCCAGTTTGTGGTTTCTCTCTATTTGGGGAGTGGCTCTCTTTGCTGTGCCCGTGCTCTGGCTGTAACCCATTGAATCGCTGAGTCTCACAGCATCTAGTATTGCTGTAGCCCACTGGACTCTCTCTCCCAGACACTGACGTTTAGCAGGGCTAGCTAGTCATTTCTGTGATGCTCTGGTGAAAAGACCCCGGAGATCCCTTTTCTGAGCTCTAAGCTGTCCTACCCTTCCTGAGTCTTAGTCATCTGTCTCACTTTGATTCTGGAAAGATTGTTCCTTTTTCTGGAGATGGTTCTGTTGTTTGCAACTAAAATAGAGTCACAACACAAGCATGGTGTTAGAGATATGTCATGGCATGTCATAGAAAGCATTCCAGGAGCCGGTTACAATTTTACTTTTGCCTCTTGCTTCATTTGCCTCCGCTGGTATTTTTCCACGTCAGTGATCTAGTTAACTTCTTAACTCAGTCATCACAAGCTAATGCAAAACCTGTTGTTACACACCTTTTATAGCTCACTCTCATAGATCATTTCCTATTGACTTTCAAAATAATTATACATACCTTCATAATAGGGGTATGATCTATTTGGCTGGCTCCTCATTAGACAACAGCCCCTGAAGTGTCTGTTAAAGTATAGGTATTGTGAAAACTTGTCATGCCATTTTTCTTGTCACTGGATTCTCTTGTCACTTAATTTATTTTATAGCATGATTGGTGGGCATATACATTATTAAAGATTCTTTGTTCCTTGGAAATTGAGTTCATGTAATATCAGTCTTATATTTTAAAGAGAAATATTTAGTAAATAGACTTAATAAATTTTTAACCCAGAAATCCTTTCACTTTTTAAACCAGAATGTTATCACTGTTATTGAAAGATGCTAAAAGGGGGAAAAATTCCCCAGATCCTAAAACACTTTGTTATTAGTGTCTTTGTATGTTTAATTTTGTATATTTTTCTATGCATTTTAGAACATAGCTATAAAATACATATATTAAGTTCATATATGTTTTCAGATCACTTCTAAGTAACATGTCAGTATAATCTAATTAGATTAGTCATGTTTTCCCTAAAACTTAAACTTTTCTACCTGGGTTACTAGATGTATGATTAAGACTGCTCCAATCCTGTTTTCTTACCATATAAAGTACTGTTGTGAAGAGTAAATGAACTAATAGGAGAGAATCTAACATGGTATCTAGTTTAGGTACTTGGTAAATGTTCATTACACCTCTCGTTTGTTTAGATTAACTAGGGAGAATATGCCATTTTTTTTGACCCTTCCCACCTGGCTGTCAATTTTTCTTAAAATAATTTTAACTTTGTAAAATCCCCTTTTAAAAGAAGTTGGGTACATGTTTGTTCGTATTTCTTTGAAAACTATGTTTAGGAGCTAGAAATATGTGAGAAAGTTAGACTTACTTTCTTAGCTCTTTAAATTATAAGTGGTCTATTGAGTAATCAGGGGGTATGCTTTATAAATGTGTGTTGGTGAGAGCTGGTTATATTTTACCCATTTTGGGATCTAAACCATGTTAGCCATTTTACAGATAGATGGCCTTCTTTAAGGTAGGATGTTACTATAAAGGAATAGGACAAGAATTCTACATTTAAGTGTATGTATTCCTACAATTTTAAAAAATTGTTGAAAAATTTTAACATTTCACTACCAAACATTTTTTTTGCACTTTCCTCATTTTTCTCTCCCTTTATTTTTCAGAATGAACCTAGTGATCAAGAAGATGGCCTCAACAAAAGACATCATGTGACAGACTCTGAGAATGAAGACCCTTCGAATCTTAACGCTAGTGACTCTGAAAGTGAGGAGCTTCAAAGGCGAAAGGACAGCGACTCTGAATCTGAAGAGCATGCAGAGCCTCCTGCAAGTGATTCTGAAAATGAGGGTGTCGTTCACCATGGGAGTGAATCTGAGAGTGAGGAGACCAAGAAATTGCCTGTTAGTGACTCTGAAAACGAGGAGCTGCTTAATGGGCATGCAAGTGACTCAGAGAATGAAGATGTTAGAAAGCATCCTGCCAGTGATTCAGAGACTGAAGAGCTCCCCAAAAGTCCGGCCAGTGACTCTGAAACAGAGGATGCTCCAAAACCTGAAATCAGTGACTCTGAGAGTGAGGAACCTCCAACACACCCAGCCAGTGACTCTGAAAACGAGGGGCTCCCCAAACCTCAAGTTAGTGATTCGGAAAGCGAGGAGCTTCCTAAACCTCAGATCAGTGACTCGGAAAGTGAGGAGCCTCCGAGGACTCAGGCCAGTGACTCTGAAAATGAGGAGCTTCCCAAACCCCGTGTCAGTGACTCGGAAAGTGAGGATCCCCCAAGGCACCAAGCCAGTGACTCCGAGAACGAGGAGCATCCCAAACGCCAAATGAGTGACTCAGAAAGTGAGGACCCGCCAAGGACCCAGGCCAGTGATTCTGACAATGAAGAGCTTCCCAAACCCCGAGTTAGTGACTCTGAGAGTGAGGAGCCTCAGAAGGGACCTGCCAGTGATTCCGACACGGAGGAGGCGTCCAGACACAAGCCGAAGCCAGCGTCAGATGACAGCGATGGGGAGAATAAGGGGGAGGAGACCGAAATGCAGAATAACTCCTGCCATTTAGATAGCCATATAGACAGGAAACGGTTTCACAGTTCTGACAGTGAGGAGGAAAAGCCCAAAAGGCCAAAAATTGACAGTGATGAAGATGAAGAAAAAGAGGGGGAAGAGGAGAAAGCAGCAAAGCGAAAAGCTGCTGTACTTTCTGATAGTGAAGAAGAGAAAGCATGTAAGGAATTATTTTGGACTGGTTAGCCATAGCTTTACTTACCATCTAAGCTTATAACTGTAAAGCATTCTTTTTCTGGAATGTTAGAGCTGTAATTTCTTCTGAGTTGTTCTAACAGCATTTCTTAAGTTCTGAGTGCCTCAAAATAATAAGCTAGACTGCTTTCATTTCAATGGAAATATGAAAGATTTAGTATTTTTTACTGGAAGGTAATATCTCAAAGAACTATGTTTATATGGACACCCAAGTATTGACCAGAGTTAGCTGTGAGACTCAGCCAGCTAATGCCCTAGAAGCCATCCGGACAGTGACTGGGCGCTCATATGTGCGTACCTCTTCATTTAGAGATTCCATGTCTGCCAAGTATTTTAGTCTTTGCTACTTGATTACTTTTTTATGAAACTTACCTTTTTTGGTAAGTTTCATAAAACTTATAACCTGACAGTTGTTACAGGAGAAGGAAAAAGCACCACACATGTGCGAGTTTACTAAGGGAGATGAGACATTCCAGTAACCATCAGGGACGATGGGCTCCATAAAAGAATGTTCGGCCTTTTAACTCTGCTACTACTAAGCCGCATAGAAGGTGTTCTGATTATGTACATCGGCCTTGTCTTATTTTCCCCAAAAGTAAAGGTAGCTATTTCATTTTTCATCTTTTGGCCACTTTTTCCTGAACAATAAGTAACTGTAAGGTGACTGAATGAAACGTTTACTTATTTTTTTATTCTAAAAACTGTGTCAGGAGGCCTTTGATTTTTGCCACATACTTCCATTTTAAAGTACTTGTTCTTAGTCATACAATGACTGTGACAGAATAAGATCAGTGATGATTTCTTTTACTACAGCAGCAAAGAAGAGTCGTGTTGTCTCTGATGCAGAGGACTCTGACAGTGATGTTATATCAGACAAATCGGGCAAAAGAGAGAAGACTACAGCATCTGACAGTGAAGAAGAAGCAGGGAAAGAATTATCTGATAAGAAAAATGAAGAGAAGGATCTGTTTGGGAGTGATAGTGAGTCGGGGAATGAAGAAGAGTAAGTGACATAATAACATGAATTTTCAAGGGTTCATATAAGGTGGTAGAAAACTGTCTTCTAAGTTTTTTACACTTGCATTAAAATTTTGTGTTGAGGTATAGTACAATATATCTTGTCTAATTGCATAACATTGGGGATGTAGGGTTTTAGTTCCTGAACTGTTGATAAGGACTCCAACGTAGGTGGATCTCAAACATAAGATCTTACATGAAAGTAGAGAGGACATGTCCCAATTCACTTCTGTGAAGTTCAAGAATGGGTAAAACTAATCTGGTGATAGAAATCAAAATAGTGATCGGCTCTAGGATGTTGATGTGGGAAACTGACTAGAAAGGGCCCCAAGCGAACTTTCTGGGAGGATGGGTTGTTCTACATCTTAATTAGAATAATGGTTACTTAAATGTGTACTTTTATCAAAACTCATTAAAATGGATGTGAGAATGGCACATTTTACTATATGAAATTATACCCTGTGACAAAAAGATTTTAGGTTTCTATGCAGATAAGAAGAAAGCAAATGAACAGTTTTTTATATTTTCTCTTCTAGAAATCTCATTGCAGACATATTTGGAGAATCTGGTGATGAAGAGGAAGAAGAATTTACAGTAAGTATAAGATGGAAGTAGTACTTTCTTTGTGACTGCTTTTTTTTGTTTGCTTTTATGGTAGTGGTTCTCTAATATGTGATCCCAATAAATAGAAATAAACAACTATGATATATTCAATAAAAACATTTTTATTTCAAAATTTAAATTTTTTTTTTTTTTTATAAAACTCTAGCCCAACCAGTGTTGCTTAATGGCTGAGCGTTGACCTATGAACCAGGAGGTTCCTGGTCAGGGCACATGCCTGGGTTGTGGTCTTGATCCCCAGTAGGGGTGTGCAGGACACAGCGGATCAATGATTCTCTCTCGTTGATATTTTTATCTCTCCCTTTCTCTTCCTTTCTGAAATTAATAAAAATATATGTATAAATATGTTTTAAAACTCTAGAACAAAGTGATTCCGAAAGTGAAATAAAAAAGTCTGCAAAGCATAAAAGGAAAATGACAGGCAAAGTTGGATTAAAGGGAGGAACACAGTAAGAGATAACGGAAGGCATGTTGTAATGCTGGAGAGAAAGATTCACAATAGTTATAGAACTTCTGTCCAGCCCATTGTGTTCATCATCAGAGGAACAAGGTGACGGAGAATAACTAAGTCAAACCAGGGAGAGACAGCAGCCTAGAGAGTAAGCTCAGCGTGTGGAACTGCTTGTTCTGGGAGGTGCCTGCTCAGGCTGAGAGACTGTTCATGTTTTGGTGTCCTCAAGGCTCAAGAGACAAAATTGGGGGTGAGGGCTTGCTGATGTCAGAGGACCCTGAAATACCATGGACTCCTAGGATGAAGGGTGACCTGTCGGGGAAATAGCCTTTGCTCAGATGTTAGGCCAGCTTTGAATAATCTAGCAATGTAAGAACCTTGGTCTTAGAAATTTGATCACAATGATTCTTAACCTGTCGGCTAGTGTTCTTAGGCCCCTGGCATATACAAACAGAAATCCTTTTAGGACAAAGGTGACATAATTGTAGGCCTCAAAATATTTCTGTAGTTTATGGTACTCCATAGATAATGTTACAAAGAAAACACTAAAAACAGACAATAGAAATAGACTTAGGGGCTCTAGATATAGGAATTTTAGATATTGCCTTAAGAATATATATGTGTCCAGGGAGATAAAAGATTAAAATTTTGACAGAGCAAATAATTTTTTAAGAGATAAGGCAGATTTGGAAAAGAACCAAGGAGAAATTTTGGAACTAAAAATATAGTCACTGAAATTAAAAACTCGGTGAATGAATTTAATGGATTAGATGTATTTGAAAAGAAAATGAGTGAACTGGAAGATAGGCTAGAAGGAACTATTTAGAATGAAGTGTTGGGATATATTAGTATGGAAAATATAAGAGAATAAACATAATTTATACACGAGGAGGGTTGAACATAGTGAATTGGAATCCCAGAAGGAGAAGAAATACGCGTGGCAGAAGCAGTATTTAAAGAAATGACACACAGACTGATACAGTGAGAGATTCTGGGATTTCTACAGATTACGGGCAGGATAAACAAGGACATCACCTAAATGCATCAGTAAAATTGCAAGAAACCAAAGAAAAGAGACATCTTAAAAGCAGCTAGGGTGGGAAAAATTACATTCAGAAAAGAGCCTACAGTTACACTAACAGCTGACTTCTTAGCAGAAACAATAGAATCCAATAACTGTGAACTTAGAGCCCTGTTATGTTCAGCAAAACACTTTTCAGGAGTGAATACTTCCTCGTTTCATCTTGCAGTGTCCCACTGAGGACATGCTAAAGGCAGAAAGAAAGGCCAGGGATGCAGGAAGGGAAGAAGCAACACAATTATGTGGATAAGTCTAAATGCGTGTTGTCTGTACAAAACAAGTTATGTCTGGTGTGGCTTAAAATATATGTAACATTAAACCACATGACAGCAGTAACAAATTGGGAATATACATGGAATTGAAGTGTTCACAGGCCTTTGCAAATGTTTATAAAAGCCCATTAGACTTTAATAAGTTAGGGTGCCCCTTGTAATCTCTAAATGACCACTAAAAAGATTACGCAGTAAGGTAACAGATTTAAACTGGTAATATCAGAAATTACATTAAATTGAATTAAGTGCTCCAATTAAAAGACAAAGATGAGCCTGGCCGGTGTGGCTCAGTGGTTGAGCATCAACCTATGAACCAGAAGGTTTGATTCCCGCTCAGGGCATATGCCTGGGTTGCAGGCTCGATCCCCATTTGGGTGTGCAGGAGGCAACGTGATTCCCTCTCATCATTGATGTTTCTATCTCTCCCTCTTCCTTCCCCTCTAAAATCAATAAAAATATTTTTTTAAAGATAAAGATGGTCAGACAGATTTTTAACAACCTGCTGTATAATAATTTCAAGATTCATCTGAAACAAGATTTTTAAAAGTTGAAAATAAAAGGATAGAAAGAGATATTTTACCTGAACATTACCCCCCCAAAAAATAAATAAATAAAACTGGTAGAGCTATATGAATAGTAAAGAGGTAGACTTTAAGGTAAAAAACATTATTTGAGATAAAGATAATCAATTTATACTGATAGAAGTTTTTAAAATTGTACTTAGCCATGTTCACCCAAAACAAATATGTACATACAAAACAAAAATTGATAAACTGCAAAGAGAAATGACAGATGTATAATCTATGTGGAATGTAACTGAAAGAACCAAAACACTGCAGAAGAGTCTTTATATATATAATCTGGATAAAAACCCTTTGGGTGATTATAAAACTTAAAAATTTCTTCTGTGGCTTGCCTTTTTACTTTCTTAGTGGAGTCTTGAGGAACAAAACTTGTTAATTTTAATATAAATCAACTTTACCAGTCCTTTCCTTTATGTTGAAAGCTTTTTAATTCTAAGAAAATTTTTGCTTGTCCTCAAGGATACAAAAATATTCTCCTGAGTTATTCTCTAGAAGCTTGATTGTTTCATCTTTCACATTTACTTGTACAATCAGGTTTTTGTGTGGTGTGTATGAGATAGAGTCAAGATTTCCCCCCATTTGGAATATTCAATTGACCTAGCTCATTTGTTCCCACTACTGTGTAATGCCATTTTTGTCATAAATCAAGTGTCTGTATATATTATCCAATATGTTTCCATGGTGTCTTTTTTATATTTAGTTGGTTATGTCCTCTAAGGTTGTTATGCTTCAAGATTGACTTGACTTTTCTTGGTTTGCATTTTTATATAAATTTTACAATCAAGCTTTTACAAAAAGTACAAAGTATAGACAACATTTTCTTAATTGCAATGCCATGAAACTGAAAATTAATAACAAAAGTAGCAACCAAAACACCCTTGCCACCCAGAAATTTAAAACTTCCTTGTTAAATAGTTCTTGGATTAAAAAAGAAATCATACTTTTATTACTAAAGCAAAAGAGAGTGAAACTGGATGAATCAGCAAGTATTTGAGAGCCTCTCTGCCGAAGGTTGTTTGGAAATTGCCCTCCTGGAGCTTACACTGGGTTAAACAACACTGTGCAAGAGTAAGGTCTGTTCCTCTAGTTTGGAGAGTTTATGTCAACTTTGCTGTACACTCATTTCATTGAGAAAAATACACGTCCCAACAGTCATTGGGAAGTCCTTTCTAAATATGGATAAGAGTTAGAAGCTATAAGCAAAGATGGATCATTTATTTCAATTACATAAAGAATCATGCCTAGAAAAAAAAATAACACAGCTGGCCATTAAAAAAAAATGCCTGGAAAACATTACCATGAACAAAAGCAAACTTTATGGGCTCTGCAGTTCCTGTCACTTGAGAGCTAATTTTAAAGAGGTTTTTCAGACCAATTAGGCAAAGACCCAACATAAAATAATAGGATGTTGAGAGTTCACACAGAATTACAAATGGCTTCTAAACATAAAAAGAAAAAAGCCCAACCTTACTCATGACAGAATGCAAAGAAAGCTACACAGATGCCTTTGTTTTTCAGTTCAGAGATTGGGAAATATCAGTGGTTGATCACCTATGAAGATGGTATTGGAAGGAGAGTTCATTGGCATAACCTCGTTGGAAGACAGTTTGGCAAATATTTCTCAAAATTTCAGATACACACATCTAAATGTCAGTAGGGAAATGTATAAACAAATTATGGTTGCAGACATGTGGTGAAATAGCCAAGCCTTCAAAAGAACGAGGTTGCTTTATGCTGATAGGACTTAGTCTCCAGATTTTATTATACTAGAGGCCTGGTGCACGAAATTTGTGCAAGGGTGTGGTCCCTTGGCCTGGCCGGCGATTAAAGCATAAGCGTCTGACGTGGAAGGGTAGGTCCCACACCTGACCTCTGGGCCCTGGGCAGCACCTGAGCCCCCAGGCCCCTGCGCAACCCCCTCCACATGAATCACGGCACCCGAGTCCCCTCGCAGAGATGTAGTGAGTGCAACCAGATGCCATGGGCTGGGCCGCAGCATGGGCCTGTGGGCGGGCAGTGTGCTCTCTCCTGGCCAGCAGGCCTCACAGACTGGCTCCTGCGCAAACCCATGGGGAGCCTGACCGGCCCCTGTGATCCCAGCTGCTGCTGCCCGGCTCACCCGGAAGCCCATTGGAGCTGGCAGCGCCTCCACTGCTGCCCGCTCCCTGCATCTCGTCGCCGATGCCCACCATGTTCCACGCCACCCCCTGGTGGTCAGCGCATAGCAAGTGGTTGAACTCCTGGTCGAGGGGACAATTTGCATATTACACTTTTATTATATAGGATGTGGAAAGTGCATGATGATATACTGTACCTAGTGTGTGTAGTAGTATGCTGTCACTTGTATAATAAAAGGAGTAAGTATAACATGTAGAAGTGCTTGTATAAATGACTATAACCGGAAGGAGACACAAGAAAGCGTAGTAACACTAATGACTAGGGTGGGAGGGAGCTTTTTTGCTGTATACCTTTTGATACCTATTTAATTTTCATTCTTTGTGAATGTATTGCAGTTAAAGTACAAAAAAGTAAGAGCAGTTACACAGAAGAAAATCTGTAATGTGGTTGTGATAACTGGCTATATACCCTGCTTTTAGGGTTTTAACCAAGAAGATTTGGAAGAAGAAAAAAGTGAAACACAGGTAAAAGAAGCTGAAGATTCAGATTCTGATGATAACATAAAGAGAGGAAAACAGTAAGTCTTTTATTTAAAAGGAATTTTTTTAAGAGACTATAAAAATGAAGGTAAAGGCTATCAAACTTGGTTTTTTCTTACTTTGGCTTCTGATTAGGTATAGGAAGGGATCTGTTCCTTTTTTCTCCCTTCTGTTTAACTACAGTGCTGTTTGTAAACGATTTGCTCTTGTTATTTTTCTTTCATTTGCCCTGTGCTCAGCTGTTGTAATTTGTGGAGTTTTATGGTGCCAGGCTCTTCATTTATATCTCACCAAATAAACTCTTACAAAAAAATGTGCTTTTAGAAGAAAAATTGATTTTGGGGTCCTGATGGAAATAATGCTAAAGTCTTAATTGCAAAATATTACTTGATTGTATTTCACATACTTCCGTTAATGTGTTCAGAACAATCTGGTATCTTGAAAAGTGCCAAACAGAATGATTCATTAGCTGCTGTTTACAGTTGTAAAGATAATGCTTTAAAAAATATTTATTTCCCTTTTTAATTCCTAGTGACATGCTGAAGGAGCTTGGTAATACCTTTGGAAATTATCATATAACATATAAATCACTTCTCATTTATATGACAGTGGCAGAGAGCAAGTTAACTTCCTCTTTGAGCGTAATGATTCAGGGGAAAGCCATAAAGCTTTGAGGCTCTTAGCAAGTCTGTAGATGTCCACCTTTATCTCAGTGACATTACGTTTTGAGCTGTACCACTGAAAAGCAGCGGTTTTTTTTTTTTTTTCTACTTATGCTATGGAAGACAAAACACCCAAATGAGTGAACACCACTGTATCTCCCCCAGAAGTCAGTGCAGCCATAACTGAACCATGGAATTGCAGGCAGTACCCCCTGAACAAGAACTTGGAACTGGAAATGGTCTTTCTCAAGCTGATACATGCAAGTGTTAACATAGTGTATGAAAAGCTTAGTGTGTAACAATTGGGGTAGTATAGAGGTTGAACAGAAAACCCAGGATCACATGCTCTTGTAAAGGCAAGTTATAAGTACTTGTGGTACTTGAAGAGAATTCTCCATTGAATTACAATTAAGAAAATTGGTTCTTAACTGTGATCAAAGGAAATGTGTATTTAAAAGGCAATTTGTATATCACTTGATTTTTGTGTTACTGCTTAGTATGGACTTTCTGTCGGATTTTGAGATGATGTTGCAGCGGAAAAAGAGCATGAGCGGTAAGCGCAGACGTAATCGTGATGGTGGTACTTTTATTAGTGATGCAGACGATGTGGTGAGCGCCATGATCGTCAAGATGAATGAAGCTGCTGAGGTGAGTTGGCTTCTAGCTTAATCGTTCTCCCACTTAATTGGGTCTATGGCTTTTTGTTTTTTAGCTTAGCCCTTGCTTACACTTAAGATACTTTGTTTTTTGTAATAAAGCATTTACTATTCTAAATTTTAAGCACAGAAAAAATTTTAATTTTTAGTAACATGTTTAGAAAAAGTGAAAAGACGAAAGTATTAAGTAAAAATGTGCCTTTTTAGCCTAATGGCTTTGCTAATTTTATGGGGGAATGATTTTCTTTCCAGTTTGGCTGGTTTACCACGAAGTTTAATTTTTCTTCACGTATAAAAAGTCATACACTTACTATGTTATAAACTCATGTTATTCTTTTGCCTCTGATTAAGAGATTGCATTTAACTCATTGTGCTTTAAAATTCTGCCCTAATTTTTTAAATTATGTTATTATGTTTAAAAACCAGTTCTGATCTTTTGGAGACACTTCCTGAAGTATTTATGCATTCAGTGATATGTGTCTAGGATTTGTTTTGAAATAATTCAAGGTTGAGGGGGAAATAGCTAGAGAAATAGCTAAAATAAGACTGACCATGTTTGTTTAGTTGTTAAAATGTACATAACAGGAGTATATTATTTGTTTTCTGTTGTGGAATTTGAAATTTTTCATAATTTAAAAAATGCCCAAGTAAATACTGAAACTCTCCTTTAATAACATCCCATTATTATACAAGCCTCCCAGCTGGAAAGTTATTTCTGATAATAAACCAAATTTTCCCAGGTATAATTTTGTACCTTACATGAACTCTGAAAACTTTACAATTATGCCACTATTTTGAATTAAAATTATTTTCTCAATTTGTAATTGTTAAAGCTATTTTAATGGCTGTATGGGTTTGATTGACATGGACAGATACAGAATTTGGGGCTATACACAAAAGTCAGTTTTTAACTTAATTTTTCTTTCTTGTAGGAAAAACTATAGTTTCTCAGGAAAATTGCTGCTTTATTTTAGACTCTAAATTATAATGCTTGAAATTCATTATTAATAATGGCTTTATTTATTATTTTTTAAATCTTTTTCTTCCTGGATAGGAAGACAGACAGTTGAACAATCAAAAAAAGCCAGCACTGAAAAAATTAACATTATTACCTACTGTGGTTATGCACCTTAAGAAGTAAGTATTGTTTTATTGAAAAAGTTTTTTCCTTTTAGTGGAATGATAGTCAAACTATGTACTGGTGTTCTAAAGATATTAAAGAATGATTGCCTTCTGTCAATTCATAGAGCAATAATGAATAGAATTTCCTAAGTTATGTTACCGTCTCACAAATTTCTTTTAAACCTTGATTCCTGATGCAAATGGAACAGAGATAACAAACTGATATTAATGAAAGAAAAACATGGAAACCACTAATATTGTTCTTTATAGACAGTTTTCAGTCTGGTAAATGTACAGCTGTTTTCCCAGTGTGAACAGAACAGAGCACATTATGGGAGAGTGAAGCACATATCGTGCTAGGCTGATGTGGCCTGTTCTGTCATGAACTGTCATTGGTACTTCTGGAATAAGGGTCCTTTCTTGATGAATCATTGTTAGCAAGGTCTTGCATTGTTTTGCTGAGGTGCCAGAATAATTTTTTAATACATTTTTTTATTGATTTCAGAGAGGAAGAGAAAGGGAGAGCACATTATGGGAGAGTGAAGCACATATTGTGCAAGGCTGATGTGGCCTGTTCTGTCATGAACTGTCATTGGTACTTCTGGAATAAGGGTCCTTTCTTGATGAATCATTGTTAGCAAGGTCTTGCATTGTTTTGCTGAGGTGCCAGAATAATTTTTTAATACATTTTTTTATTGATTTCAGAGAGGAAGAGAAAGGGAGAGAGAGATAGAAACATCAATGTTGAGAGAGAATCATTGATCAGCTGCCTCCTGCATACCCCCCAATGGGAACTGAGCCCGCAACCTGGGCATGTGACTGGAATCAAACCCAGGAACCTTCAGTCCGCAGGCCAACGCTCTATTCACTGAGCCAAACCAGCCAGGGCGATGCCTGAACAGTCTTGATTTCACCTTGAACCTAGGACTTCCTACTAGAAAATCGCTCCCTCTGATAGTGTCATGGTGTCTGTTAACATACTTGACTCTAGTACAGAAAATGAAATTTAAATGTCAGTAATTCATGGGCATACTTTCCCTGCTACGCGAATGCTTTCCTCCTGGTGTCTTGCATAATTCTGAGTTTTCTTTCACCCAAAACAGTTTCAGAATCGCTATCCTGACAGATTAAGCATTCATTTTATCCTATATAATAAAAGGGTAATATGCAAACTGTCCCTAACAGCAGAACTACTGGGAATGACTGGTCACCATGACAAACACTGACCACCAGGGGGCAGACGCTCAATGCAGGAGCTGCCCTCTGGTGGTCAGTGCGCTCCCACAGGGGGAGCTCTGCTCAGCCACAAGCCAGGCTGATGGCTGCCAGCACAGCGGTGGTGGTGGGAGCCTGTCCCGCCTCCTCAGCAGCGCTAAGGATGTCTGACTGCAGCTTAGACCTGCTCCCCGCTGGCAAGCGGACATCTCCGAGGGCTCCCGGGCTGCCAGAGGAATGTCCAATTGCCAGCTTAGACCCAATCCCCCAGGGAATGGGCCTAAGCCAGCAGGTGGTCATCCCCCGAGGAGTCTCATACTGAGAAAGGCCACAGGCCAGGCTGAGCCCCCCCCTCCGAGTGCACAAATTTTTGTGCACCGGGCCTCTAGTAGTTGTAATAATTGGAGCTCATTATTCTGACTGTCTGTATCATTTATATTAACATTAACCTGACTTGTGTAGTTTGGGTTTGTTTTGTTTTGAACAAATCATCTGCCTGTCAAGTGTGTTTGTGAAAATAGGAACTAAATGTCCTGTTGCTTTGAAGTCTGTGAATAGGGCACAGTAAACATGAGTGCAGGCTGACTCTGTGGGAGGGTTTCTGAAAGCATCATTAAATACGTAAGAAAATCAAAGGAAGCTATAGTAGAACCAACATGTATAGACTTGACTTTTTTGTGTAATTATTATTTCAGGCAGGACCTTAAAGAAACATTTATTGACAGTGGTGTGATGTCTGCCATCAAAGAATGGCTCTCACCTCTCCCAGACAGGAGTTTGCCAGCACTAAAGATTCGAGAGGAGCTGTTGAAGATTCTACAAGAGGTTAGAGCCAGATGATCTGATTGTTCGCACATCATTAATTATTTAATGTGGTTTGTGTTATTGCAACCTCTATATTTATATTACCATGTATTTATGTGTTCTCTCTGCCAGAAGAAGGGTTTTATTCAGTATGTTTTTAGGAACATAGCAAAATAAAATGAGCATAAATGAAGGCGGCCCTGATAAACTTCATGTGAATCTGGCATTGAAGGAAAGAGATCCTGGAGGAGCTGTGGTTTCTGTGTAGAGTAGTACAGCAGTGGGCATGTTGGGGGGGGGGGGGGGAAAGAGTGAAAACACCAACTTCAGAGATAAGCCTGCATTAGACTCTTCCGCTGGGCCACTTTGACATGGCTGTGACCCCTGGGGCAAGCAACATAGCTTCTGAGGGGATCCTCGAGAAACCTGTGTGCTGTTGTTCTTACTCCTCACCACAAGCCTGCAAGGTGGTGGGTGTATTGTCTCCATTTACAGATGAGGAAGTTAAGACTCAGGGAAGTTAAATGACTTGTCCAAGGTTACATTGCTCGCAGATGGCTGTGCTTGGGTTCAGACTTAGATCTATTTGATTCTGGGCCGGTGCTGCATCTTGTATTAAACTGTTAACCTCTGAGTACGCGTAGTTCACATTTTCTCACATTGTTAAGTTTTACTTGGACGCAGCACTAATACTGAACTCTCAACTCTTTTTTTTTTTTTTTAAATAGTTTACTGATTTTTTACAGAGAGGAAGGGAGAGGGAGAGGGATACAGAGTTAGAAACATCGATTCAGCTGCCTCTTGCACGCCCCCTACTGGGGATGTGCCCGCAACCCAGGTACATGCCCTTGACCGGAATCAAACCTGGGACCCTTCAGTCCGCAGGCCGATGCTCTATCCGCTGAGCCAAACCGGTTAGGGCTGAACTCTCAACTCTTGATGTGAACACAAAATACCTTTGTGTTCAGTATCTGTAGATCCTGAAAATGGAGTTTTTTTTGTTACTTATCCTATTGTGAATGAGCCAGGTCTCAGAGGCTCCTCTAGAATAGATGGGCAGGACTCCCAGTTCTGCGAGATTCATGTTGTGTGCACGTGCTTATGTCCTCAGCTGCCCAGTGTGAGCCAAGAGACCCTGAAGCACAGTGGGATCGGACGAGCAGTGATGTATCTCTACAAACATCCCAAGGAGTCACGGTCCAACAAGGACATGGCAGGAAAACTCATCAGTATGTACATTTGGTTTTTGTTGTGTTTATGGGTTTATAGAAGGTAACTGTATTTGTACCAATAGATATTGAAAAAGAATCAATATAAGTGGAGTAGAAAAAATGTTTGGTACCTTCTTATAGGTACCAGATTTTTTACTTTTACACTGAAAATGCTTCTCAGTATATTTAAGTATATAATTCAATATTAAGTACAGCAAGTAAAATGATGCATTTTCTAATCATGGACCAAGAGCAGGTTGTGAGAGAGGCACTGGAATGCTGGTCCTGGCATTAGTCATACCTGGTTTCAAATCCTGGATTCACCACCTACCTTACTGCACATCCTTAGGCTCCTGCTTTCAGCTCTAGGCCCTGGTTTTCTCCTCTGTAAAATGGGTGCTTGCTTTGGGTTTTTTGTAAAGATTAAATGAGAGAGTATATACAAAGCCATAGATATTCATACACACATATATACTCCTCAGGAAACGTTAGCCACTGCTGCTGCTGTTGTTACTTTTATAGTGGTCTTCCAAGCCTCCATCTAATCAGTTGCTGTAATGTTTATAAAATCCTTCCGTTTTAAGAATGAAAAGCGAGCATTTTCATCATTCTCCTTGACTTTTGCTGTGCTCCATATTGGGAAGGAATTTTTAAACTTCCAAACTAGACTGAAAAAGCAACAACTTCTGAAGATAGTAATTATTTTTCTATTGAATTTTTTAAGAGTATCAGAAGTTTTTAGGGAAATTTAAATTTTTTAATATACCAGAGAACTATTATATCTTTGATCTTGTTTAATAATCTGTAATTTACTACCTATTAAATAATAAACTTTCGATGCTTTTGTGCAGTCTTTCCCGACCCTTTTTTTGCCCTAGACTGAGAAAAGCAGAATATTCCCAGTGATTGAGTCCTTTACACTAAAAAAATAATACTCACTACTTGTTATCACAGTGATTCTGAATCCAGGGGAAGGGCTGGCAGGTCAATTTTCAAAGATAGTTAGACCACCTCCTCTGAGACTATTGCTTTCTTATTAGTTTGACAACACTTAATAGTATATTAAATGCAACAGTAGTCTACATCATGTTTCAAAATAAAAGCACCTTTGGACTTTTACTAACTAATCAATGGGCCTGTAGTACTTTTTTCGTGTTCATCCTAGCAGCTTTCTTAGATTTAATGGAGTACAGACCCTAAAGCTGCACTGTTAAAATATGATTTTTAAAGATTTAGACCATTTTAACAAGTAACAAGGGAACATTTTTTAGAATGAGAAAGTAGAAGAATTTCAAGATTTTCTCTTTTTTAAAAATATTTTTATTGATTTCAGAGAGGAAGGCAGAGAGAGGTAGATATATCAATGATAGGAATCATTGGTCGGCTGCCTCCTGCACACCCCCCACTGGGGATCAAGCCCTCAACCCATGCATGTGCTCTGACTGGGAATTGAACTGTAACCTCCTGGTTCATCGGTCGATGCTCAACCACTGAGCCATGCCTGCCGGGCCAGATTTTCTCATTTTGAATATAGTAAATTAGAAATTAGACCATCTTTATGAAATGACAATACAACTTGTTGACTGTTAAAGTGGGTCAGGAATTACTCTCAAACAGCTGGTGATTATAGGTTTAAATGACCTTTTAATACTGAATTTTCTGAATCAACTGGAGCTACTTGTAATGTTGGTATTAGGCTGCGTTTATCCTATGAATGGTCCTGAGATAATGGTATCTTTAAGGAAAGAATATTCTAAATACCTAGAATATAGCATAACACTAGAGTGTGACTATTTCAAGACATGGTAGGAGGAATGCAACTCCGTGTACTAAATAATTGCGTTTTCCTGGTTACAGATGAATGGTCTCGGCCTATATTTGGTCTTACCTCAAATTACAAAGGCATGACGAGAGAAGAGAGGGAGCAGAGAGACCTAGAGCAAATGCCTCAGCGACGAAGAATGAGCAGGTATGAGGGAACAGGTATGAGGAAGTGGAGTCGATGTTATTGTTACAGTAACTTGGCGTTTTTGTAAATAAGATCATTAGGAAACCTGCTAAGATGATAGGATTTTGTCTTTCCTCTCGGCTTGATGTGTCTGTGTAGCTCACAATACCCTCTTAATTTCTGTGGGACAGTGTGTAAGTGAAGGCCCACACCCTCCCAGACTTCTGGCTTGATCTGGTGGAGTGTGGCCTCTGCCACAGTTCTGGAGGCCGCTTTTTTTGTTCTGGCCACTTGCAGAAAAAACTGTCCTTCTCAGTCCCGTATACAAATTCTTAGGAGAAAAAGATAATATTGGTTCAGTTTGTTTCAATAAACTGGATACAGTTGTATCCATGGCAGTCACCATTCACCCATAATGAAACCTGGTGTGCAAGATTAAGAATTATTTTTCGATTGTAAAGGACTTAATTGTGGTCTAACTTTGATGTTCCACTTTGCTCTTTTTTTCTTACAAAGTTGCTAGAGGCCCAGTGCACGAAATTAGTGCGGGGGGGGGCGTGTCCCTCAGCCCGCCCTGCACCCTCTCCAATCGGGTACCCCTCGGGATGTCCGACTGCCTCTCGCAACCCGGGACCGCTGGCTACTAACTGCTCGCCTGCCTGATTGCCCCTAACCCAGGGGTGGGCAAACTTTTTGACTCGAGGGCCACAATGGGTTCTTAAACTGGACCGGAGGGCCGGAACAAAAGCATGGATGGAGTGTTTGTGTGAACTAATATAAATTCAAAGTAAACACCATTACATAAAAGGGTACGGTCTTTTTTTTTTAGTTTTATTCATTTCAAAAGGGCCGGATCCTTGCCCACGGCTGCTCTAGAGTGATGCTTTCTTAATGCAAATAACTCACCTGCATTGGCTTTAAGGTCTTCAGGTGTGACCATGACAACAAATCGGATTGCACGTTCATTTCGAAACATCTCGTAGGACCACCGACGGATAGACCGCATGCATTTCACTGCTGCAATGCCATTGTTGGCAATAAGAACCTGGGAGAGTTAGGGGATGGGAATTGGAGAGAAAAATAGAAAAAGCAAGCAATGATGGAGAGAAAGAGGTGAGACAATTTTTGTAAATCTATCTTATTTTGAAAAGGCAGATTTTCTATAGGAATTTGTATTCCTGGTCTAGGTAGTTAAGAACTAGCTCCCACATGACCAAGGGATATTTTAAAATGTTAGCTAAGGAAATACTTCAATATGTGCCTGACTCAACCTTATTCCTTTCTAGCTTCCTTCTTTTAAAAATCCTCACCCAAGGATATGCTTTTTTTTTAAATTGATTTTTAGAGAGAGAGGATGGCTAGGGAGAGAAACATCGATGTGACAGAAAAACATCAATCAGTTGCCGCCTGTATGCACCCTGACTGGGGATTGACAACCCCACAACATGGGCATGTGCCCTGA